TTCTGCTTCTTTATACGAAAATCTTAATTATTTATGATGATCTAGCAAAGTATTGATAAATTTTGCTCAAGGTTGAAACTGAAAATGATAACATGGGTTAGCGGGAACCACGTTTGTTTTTCTTATTATTGCACTTATACCCATAAGGAACAAGAGACAGGTATATATATATGTCTAATGCGATTCCATTAGCAAACATACAATTATACGATATAATAAGAATGCATATATGTAAACATCATTATAGGATACACTTGTAATCTATATATAGTCACTGATAAATACGTACAAAGGAGAATCAGTGAGCTCATCATATTACAAACTAGCTAATGAAAAGCTACGGAAAAAATAAGGAGTATAATACATTACAATGTCGACAAATAATTAATTATTCACTTATTTTAGTAGCAATTGTACCTTTTAAAAATCGTTAGAAATAACGTGACATCATGGATTACCACATAGCACATATTAAAAAATTAGTAATACGTAGTAATTACTGATTAATTATAGTTACTATATTTTAATTTCGGTCAGCTGACAATTACAAAAAGCTTAAACTGTTTACTAAATACGAAAAGCCATATTAGGTGGTTTACTAATTTATGAAATTAAACTTTAGCAGACAGGTCTCTTGGGTAAGTTGGTAAGTTCATGGATCGGCCCCATTGCACGTTAGGGTGTCTATAGCTATCTTCTATGTATTCAAAATTATCGTACGTATTGATTTTGCATTGCTTGTGGAACTTGAAGATTTCTAACTAAAGTATTAGTACCATTGAAGACTATTGAATCCAACTAATTATATATATTTTCGTTAAACAAGTTATTAACTAAGTCTCTAGTTCAACAATTCCTTAGAAAGTTTCTATTTTGGTTTCAAAGTTAAACGTGTAGACATACTTTTGTGCGTACGGCAAGTATACACTATAATTGAAAGTTTCGCAATTTTTGTCTTTGTTTTGAGTAACATATGAAAGATACGTTTAGCAGAAGTAAACAACTTGCGTGATCCAATTACAATTTGACATATATTCCCAACAACAAAAACATGATGTGTAAGGAGAAAGCCAATGGAATGTCGTGATTTCACATTCTACCACAGTTATCCAAACTGAATCTAATTAAACATTGAGTAGTGGATTCTACAATTTTTAAATATTCGGAAAAAAATACTGAATTCATATATAAAAAATATTGAATCAGTTGTTTTAGATGATTCAGATGATATGACATGTGAAACTTTTTTTATTTCAGTGGTTGACAATGTGTTAATTAACACTTTTATACCAGATAAAATATGAATTAGATTTAGCAAAAATAAAATGAATTAGAGCATATTAAATTATTAATGGAAACAAATTTATCGAAAATTCGTTTTTGGTAATCAGCGTGGTACAGATAAAGTCATCATTTGTAATTATGTGTTAAATTTAAATATGTCCATTGTACGCGCAGTTCAATTAAAACCATCTATAAAATTCTTCGTTGTTAAAATTATATGTTCAAATGCGTTTGCTATATTTTGAATTGTTCCTTAAGATTATATTTTATGATCGCGATTTAAAAATCACTATTTGTAATAAAACTAAAAAAGAACATAATTTTTTTCAATAATGTAACTGCCGACGAAAACAAGCATAGGAGGAGTTTGTTAAAAATGTAGGTGCTTAAACTAATTTGCCACCAAATATGGGTCACCAAATAATTTGATTTCTGTTGTTCGATTTTTTGCAGATATTAGTTAAGGGCCACGAT